AAAAAGAGTAAGCTGAGACGAATGATGTCTGGATGTGCCAATAAAGTTGGTTTACTGTGTTTCTAATATGCAATACATAATAACAAGTTGGCTAAGTTCTGTTTGTTCTAAATGACATTTTCTTAACATACAGAAATGTGTAAGGTTGCCTGAAGTATGCATGTATATATTTTGGTTGCATCTTCTTAACACTTCAAATATTATATAGTTCTGTTGTCTTAATGGAAAAAAAAAAAAGATACTTATAGTGAAGATTTAAGCAGGAGGAAATTCATGAACTGCTTTTGAGCTTTGCCGAAGTTGGGGCAAGTGTTGTAAGGCTTAAAGGTGGGGATCCTTTGGTAAGTTTGCTCATCTCATTTTTTTTCCTTTTCCTTCTCTTTTTAGGGAGAGTGCAAAATAGAGGATAAGTTGATAAACTGTTGGCTTTTAGGTCTTCGGAAGGGGTGGAGAAGAGATGGACTTTTTACAACAACAAGGAATCGAGGTTAAAGTCATTCCAGGTTAATTTTGCTTTATGTAATAAAATCAAACGTCTCTTATCTTTTCTTTTCCAATTTTGTTAAAGACTTCCATGAGTCTTTATTTCTTTCAATTTACTTATGTGCTCAAACTTAGGACTTCATTTGATGAGGTCATATAATATTCAGATATTTATGATGCTACCCTTTAGGATTGGCCTAATTTTCTGCATATTAGAAGTCTACACCACAATAAAACTCGTTGCTATTCGTAATATTCTGAAATTATGAATTTGTAAATCATTTTTCCAATATCAGTGAATATTCTATTAATGATTGGACGAATAAAGATGGAATATATATCCTCAATTTTTGACAGGCATAACGGCAGCTTCTGGAATAGCTGCCGAGCTAGGAATCCCTTTAACACATCGTGGGATTGCCAACAGCGTTAGATTTCTAACAGGGCACTCGAGAAAGGGAGGTGCAGATCCTCTTTTCGTGGGCGAGCATGCAGCAGATCCAGACTCTACACTCGTTGTCTACATGGGTTTGTCGACGTTCCCTTCACTCTCATCGAAGCTGATGTGTCACGGTTTGCCTGACGATACCCCGGCTGCAGCCATTGAGCGAGGAACTACTCCTCAACAGCGCGTAGTAAGCAAAATTATTATTATATTTTATTTTTATGTTTCGTATCAACGTGAACCCAAAACGGATAATTTTCACAAATTCCTCCATTGAATTCCATACAAAATGAATTGCAGTTTACCCTTTAGTTATCATGTCTGTTATGGTATTTTTTTAGCACAGTATTCATATGATGCATTACAGCCCATGAAGATTGAGAATAATACAATGCTTAGCTAATATTCAAAATATTAACTTTTATTAGCAAATATTTTTCTAGGTGTTTTCTGAATTAAAGGATCTTGCGGATGAAATCGCATCGAACGAGCTGGTCTCCCCGACTTTAATCATCATAGGGAAAGTTGTTGCCCTTTCGCCATTATGGCCACACCCTACAAAAGAGACCTACACATTGGTGGAAAAATCTAGGTAGCATCAACTCTGAGTTTTTTTTTTTTTTTCCAAAGGATGTCTAGCCGAGTAACTTATGTTCATCTTTTCTAAGATATGGTCCGAGAAAGATTATTATTATTTTTTTTAATTTAATTGTGTATGTAGAATAATTTGAGAGTCCCAGCTTCCCAGATATCCATGTCTACCAGGTTCAAAGTTGGAACTCTTTTTCACCTTCCTCTTCCTTTTTCCCTATTAACAATGGCAGGTGTTAGAAAAGGGCTTGAACTAGTTGGAGTTGTTGACTTCCAATGATGTAATATTGTATTGGGTATTTCTTTTGGCTTGTAGTTGGATCTTATGATAAAGTGAGAAACCACATTGAGATATGCGTCCACAATGTTTGGAATTTATTCAAAAAAAATAATAATAATAATTACATGCTATGTAGGTAAATAGACTATTGTAGATGAACCATGTCAAGAATGCCATCTTACATCCTATGTAGGAAATAGACTCAGTTGCTTGTGATTGTGACATGCATAATCATTTTTATTTTGAAAGAAAAAAATATATAGTAACACTCTTATAATGGTTAGACTTCTGTAAATAATTAGCCCATCCAATATGGTTGTTTATTTGTAATCTGTTTAGAAGCTCCTGTTTCTTTTAATTTTCTCGTTCTTACATTGTACTTAAATTTGTAAATTCTCATGTTAAGAATATATTGGCAAACATAAATTTGACCCCATAACGTGAACATAAGTAAGGACAAGCAAAAGAGAAGGTTATACAGATAATTAAAAAAGAATACCGTGAAGCAAATTTTGTGGCCGACTGCCTGGCCAAAGTTGCCGCACGAAGCCCAACAGGTTTCCAGCTGTTAGATGAGCCGCCGGGGGAAGCTCGACAATGGCTACATCATGATGTTCTCGGGGTCGCACACCCACGAAAAGTTCTAATATCTAGCATCTAGGCATTTGCCTCTCTTCTTTGTACCAAAANTTTTTTTTTTTTTTTTTTTTCTATCCATCATTTATTAAAATAGAATATGTACAGTACAGGTATGCGTCATGATCTCTTGATCTAAATCCTTAAAAGAACAAATCGAACAAAAGAATAAGATACACCTCCTACTTACACAGTACATTCCTTCACTTGGGTTGATCTCTAATTACAGTATATGAGTCTCAAATATAGCTCTCTTAATGGCAAAAAGCCTCTTTAGTTCGTCTCGTTCAATACTCGGGAGCTAGAAAAATCTTGAAGGGTCATCCCAAAGATGCAGCTTTTCCTTTTTCATACTTCTTTTGATAACTCATCAAAATGGGTACCCAATTTTTTGTGTCGGTTTGCTTGAAAGTTAGACAGATGCGTTATGTGTTGTGATGGTACGGTTGCACATGCATTCTGGGATAGGATACTTTGTCACGTCTCGACCAGTTTTGCTTGTCCTAAGCTCGGGCTGTCCTAACGAGTCCTGGTGCAAGTCGAGTATGATTCGGTTGAACTCAGTTTCGGGCAAAGATGAGTTCATGAAATACGGAAGCATTTGTCTTTTGTTCGGAATTATGGTCTTCTTATGCCCTGCATAGGCCCTATGCCCCTGTTTCAATAAAATAGATGGAACAATTGATCAGAGTTTAACTCAACACCTCAAACAGAGAACATAATTGAAATAAATGCATCATTCATCGGTCAAAATTTTTGCTTTTAGCCCTTTCTTGTTTATAGTTACATCTCCTCACTCATATATAGTAGCATTACATGTGTAAATTAGCTTAAATAACTATGAACTGTGGTATATTCATATTTAACCGTTTTTCATAAGCAAGACTATGTTTGGTAAACATATAAGCAAACTTATAGCTTATAAGCAAGACTGTGTTTGGTAAGCATATAAGCTTAAATTTTTGCTTTCGAGTCATTTATTAGCCCTTACTTCATCACATATTCCAAATGCTCTCGGTATAGAATATACTGTTATTGTCAGTAATGAACTTCGACTATGTTTGGTAAGCATATAAGTTAACTTATAGCTTATTTGATTAGCTTATAAACTTCATGTATTCAAATAAATTTGGTTTGGTAAGACGAGCTTTTTTTAAAAGCTTCGAGTTTATCTCATAAGCTTCCCTTTGTAACTTTTCAAAAAAGTCCATTGAAATTTTTATTTTAGCTAGTTTATCAGCTAATTTTATCAAATATTTTTATCATATAAGTTAGTTTTTCACCATAAATCATAAGCTATCAGCTATAAGCTCGAAAATTCACTTATTAGCTACATTTACCAAACATAACCTTCATACCTGAATGGCACGACCCATATTCCCGCCATGAGATGCCATGAACACGTTGCTATTTTCGGAAACTATATAATCAATAGCAGCAAGAAATGAAGCCTTCTTTGCGAACGGTTCAAGCTCGCCAGGCAAAGCAAGATCTTCCTTGTTATAGAAATTCGGAAATTCCTTCATCAAAGGCAGCAAAGCTTCTTTTCCTCCTAGTGGAACCCCTCCAGCCCAATAGATTATCGCGCTCTTCGGAGCTCCCAATGCTTTGAGCAACCTAAAAATTAACCACGATTTTTTTTTTTTTATTATTATTTTATATACACAAGTTTGAAATTAACCTAAAGAATTAAAAGAAAAATGTGAATGATCTTTAGCATTTGATAAACCCCCACCTTACGACTTCCAAAGCGTTCAACGGGCAAAGGCCCGCGAGCTTTCTGTCATGATAAGTCATGTTAGATCTTGAAGTCAAAAGCTCTGGTCGAGCTTTTCTTTCGTTGTGTATAATCTCGTCGAATTTGGGGCTTAGGCCAGGAAGGCATCCTGTCCTAACCCAGACATCCTTTTCCATTCTGAGATGAAGTGCAAGATAGTGTCCCTTGCTCTGCATCCTCTCTGTAAGTTTTTTGCCGATATCCAATATATGTGGAGCAAACCTCAAAGCTTGAAAAGCCACCTTCATTTAGAAGAGATATACAAAAAAAAACAAATGAGGAACAAATTTGAAGTGTATCTATACTTTAAAAAGACGGTCAAAATATATACCTTGCAGCGAAGCTTTTGGAGATCAGATGGAAGATCCTTGGAGAGTCTGGAGTCCAAACCGCGTAATAATAATACTCCATCCCTCCTAAGCTGCATTAATAAAATAAAAGTTAAGAATTATTGAAATAAC